TTCCTCACTTGCTTTAGAGGGTAGCAACCAACAGGTTGAGTGATTAGGAGCAGCTAGCAGCACTAAGTATCTTGGTGAACTCCTAACACAAAGGATTGATGACAGTACATTAGATAGGAAACAAACTGAATTTACCTACTCTGCTGTAGCTAAGTCAGGCCAAAGAAATATTGCTTGAATGCACTTATCTTTTAAAAGTAGCAACATTTCAGGGATTATACTGCACAGAAATCAAGTATAAAAGTATTTTTAGTGCATAGGACCGTCAACTCTAGAATTACTTCCAAGCTGCGTGCCATTTGGCATTTTTCTGCACGACCTAAGTGCTAGAATTGAAAAAAACACATGAAAATCTAAAGCTTTATCGTAGCTCTAGCCCATACAATCACAGACAGGAAATTAAAAAGAACCCAAAAGCTTGTGAACATAGTAAACACTCTTCTCTGTTTCAAGATACAAGGAAGAGATATATGCCCAGATATTCTTATTTGTTTCTTTGCTTAAAATTAAACAGACTAAATAAATCAGTCACCTTATATAAACTCTTGTGACTGCAGAGGATACACCGAAACAGAGATTTTGCAGCTTTCAGCATTTACCAGGAACAGTACCCACCAGCCAGAAGAGTAAAGACAAGTTGAGAAGTGGCTTATACAAAGACTAGGACATGAGAGCCCTCCACTCCTCCCTCTGGTTCTGTACCTCCACAGCCTTATGGAGTAACCCTTGCTTGCAATTTATTAGGAAAGATAGCTGGGCAGCCAGACACTATGACTGCAAGTTATGATAATAAAGATAAAAACCTCTTAATTTCTCCCAAGAACTCTGAAATGTTCAATAGAAATAACAAGACACAAGTCTGTTCAATATTGCTTCCTCTTCTGTAAAAACATCTGAATGCTTTAAATAAAAACACTGGAAGTAATCTCTGTTCACTCCCCCTTGTCTGTACCCATTCCCATATCTGAAGCACAGGCACCTCTGGGATGAACAGCTGGTAGGAAAAAAACCCCACAGCAACAGACTAAAGGAGATCTTGGTAGGAAATTAATATATACCTAATGAAACCACAAGTGAAATTTCATACAGAAAACAAACACTTTTAAATTAGCGAGGATGGTGACTTTGGTTACAGCATGAGGGGAAGTGAGGGAGAGGCAGGAAGAAGTAAAGTCATATGGATTCTTTCATATATATTATTTATATTTGGTTTAAGTGACAGTGCTTAATTTTGAATTTTGTCTCCAGCAAATACCTGAAGCTCCAGAGTCTGCAGAGTTACTGGAAATTCTGAAGACACAGAGCTGGAATGCACCTGTTAATCACTACATACCTACATTTTGAAAAAGATCATGAGTAACTCTGAAGCCTTGTCAAAAGAAAAAAGAGAGTAAGTAGGTGTCTTATTGTAGAAACAAACTTTTTTTTTTTTTTTTTTTAAATGGAGTTCCAAGGGGAAAAAAAAATCAGACTGGATGTGTATGTTACAAAACTCAGAGTAATTCTACATTAGATCTTAGATCTCTTCCTAATGCATGAACACTCCCACATTCCTCTATTAAGCTTAGGAAGACTACAGTTTCAATGCTACTTTTCCATTAAACAGAAAAGGCTGTTAGATAATGAAATGTCCCAATTTGTCATGGAAAATACATCCGTGTGTTCATTGATATCTCTTATTCCAGACAAATGATAAATTTTTAAAATGCAGAAAAAGTATCAGAAGAACTGGCATCCAACAATATGAAATAACTAGAACAGGAGATGCCCCAAACACAAGCAGTGATTTTTTTTTTTAAAAAGCCTTTGAAAATGGGAAAATGTATAGGACTGATAAAAGCTCAGATAAGGACAATACTTAGAAGACACAGAACTAAAGCACATAAGGTACAGGTCACACAATCTGTGTGTTGTTCCAGACACTCATGGGAAGACTGCTGTAAGACAATCAATAAAGAATCAAGACACAGGCACATAATTAATGCCATTCCACGTGGCATTATGGAAAACAGGTTTAATCAAAATGGTAAGTTTGATGAGATTAAGTATGATTAAATATGTTAACACAGTTACCTCTGATTTCTTTAATATATTTGACTTAATCAAAGATGACATTCTGAGTTTTTTTGAGCAAAATAAAAATATCAGTGCAGCTTACATGCTGCAAACTAGTTAACTGACTGGAAAATGACTTCTAAACAAAAAAGGGCCACACATGGATTTGATTCATCTCAACTTTGATCTAAAATGTTTTAATGCATGTGGAAAAAATATACACCCTCAGGATGACACAAACATACAGAAGGATGATGAAGATAAAGACATAATAACATAGATAGGTAGAAAAAGGTTATCAGAAAAATCTAGTAAACCAGGCTTGTAAGAGAAATGTTATTTGAAAAGGGAAGCAAGCAAAAACCAGCTAATTAGGAAGATAGAAAAGATGTGAAAAATTCCCATGGAACAGTTGTTCTGAACAGATAATCTGCACTGCAATAGCTCATACATTTCAGCCTCTACACTTCTATCCAGGATGGTGACAATTTTGAAAGGTTTCAGAAAAGGGCTAAAATATTTTTTCAAGATTTGAAAAAAATCTACCTCAGATTAAATTGGATAAGTATTTTTATTGAAGGGTTAAGTTTTACCCAGCAAGAATAATTACATACAAAGAAGTACTTAATAATGCAGTGAATCTTCTGTATGTTGACAGTTTAGAACAAAAACTGCATATTTTCCTAAGAGATCTGTTTTAAGTCAGAGAAGGAGTTACAGACTCGATGCAAAAACAAAAACAGGGATTACTTTTCTCTCACTGCTTGGCTCGGCTGGACGTTGATATTGGCCTTTTCTAGCACTGCAACATGTTTCTTGAGGGTGTGCACAGGCACTCCACTGCTTTTGCAGCGTCAGTTCATGCTAAGGAAGGGCCCACATCTAGGCAATGCTTCATTTTGTACCTTACAATTTTCCAGCTCAAGCAGTGTCCTAAGAAGATAACAGAGTGGTCTGTTAGCATGCTGGTTTGTTGTTTGGGGTTTTGTTTTTTAATGCAAGAAATAAGAGAATTCATGGTTTTCTATGTTGAAGATCAAGACTGCTCCTACCTAGGGGAGTGCAAACCAAGAATGAACATAAAAAAAATATATTTTTTAAAAGGGGGATCAATTTAAAACCAATGTTAGAAATTATATAAAACAAGAATCCAAAAAGTATTTATTTGATTTTTAATACAAGTAACTTCTCTAGTTATGCTAAGACAAAAAAAAAAGCACAAGAAGAATCCAACAGCTGTACAAGTATGGAAAAGCTTCTGCACTGTTTTCCTCTGCAAATTTGTATGGGTCTTGTTATAAGGAGAAAACTCGAATGCAAATACATGGCTTCCTGCTCAAAAGTGGTTTGAGCAAAATAGAACATACTCAACTTGCGTTTGGTGCAAACAATTAAAAAAAAAAAAAATGATTAATTGTGCTAGAAAAAACTCAAGCAAATCTGCACGCACCCTGATGCTATGCTACAAGGAAGCAGCTTTCTAAGAGGGCAGGATGTAGCTCACCACAGTCAATGGAAAGTTGAACACTTTTTGGGTGTTCCCCTTTTAAGATGGGATGAACAGCCCATTGAAGAACCTCCTCTCACTACTGGAGGGAATATGATGTTGTTACGTTAGACTGTGTATTTACCTTCTAGATATATAGAGCTGGTGAACTCTGTCACAGCAAAATGAACAGGTTATCTGAAGTAAACAGTAATAAAGCTATATTAAATCCAGAGTTTACAGAGAAGAAGTAACACTAATACATTCCAGTTACTAGCCCTAAATTTAATTTTTAATTTAAAAAGATTCAGAGTAAAAGATCATCTTCAAAAACAGATAAGAAAGTGAATGTGGAAACAGTAAATATCAATAGTCAAAATTCTTATCTTAGTTCCAGTAGCTTCTGCCATAATCATCATCCTCTGTTCTAGCAGTGAATTATCTGCCCCTTGGATTCACTACCATTATACATGCTGGCCAGAATGACACTCACATGTGACATACGCTGTATTTTGTGTGGGAATTAAGAACCCAGTGGATTCCTTGCACTACTACAACTACAGATCTGAGCTGGGAGGCAAGGGACAAGGACAATTATGTTTCTGTAATAAAGCAGAATTAGACCTGCATAGATCTATTGAGACCTTCCAGTGAGCTCTCCTTTTCTTCTTGTGTTTTTCTTCAGCTTGTTCCTTTGCCTGCTCCTGCCTTTGCTTTTTTCACCTCTGATAACGTGAAACAGGTACTGTTTGCTCAGATCAAGATCCAGTCTTCTACTTTTGCTCAAAGACAATTTTGTTACGTAGCACTAGCTTAAGACTAAGTTTATATTTCTTGTTAT